TGGGGACTGCCCGGGGGCCCCCGGGGGGGCCCCCCCGGGGGGCCCCCTGAAGGGGGTCCCCCTGGAGGGGGCACCCCGGGGGGGCCCCCCGGGGGGTGCCTCCCTGGAGGGGGACTGCCCGGGGGCCCCTGAGCGGTGGGGGGCCCCCAGGGGGCCCCCTGGGGACGGAGAGGATGGGGCCTCGAGGGCTGCGGGGGCCCTCGTGGCAGTTAGGGAAATGCTAATGGGTACTTATTCTATTCCCCATTGCAGAAGGTGGGGAAGCTTTTTGATTTTGGGGCTTTGTTGCATGCAGCTGCATGCAGTGGGGGCTGGGCTGGGGTTTGCTGCTGGGCTGCTGCTGCAGCGCGGCCCTTGGCGCTGCAGCGGCGCTTGCTGCAGTTGCTGCAGCCGCGCTGCTGTCGCTGCTGCTGCCACTGCGGTGACTGCCGCACTGCCCCGCTGCAGCGCCAGCATCCGCCGCTGCTGCTGCTGCTGCTGTTGCTGCTGCTGCTGCTGCTGCGCAGGTTCCTGTGCGTGTGCTGGCTGCCAGCCTTCGCTCTCTCAGAGCTGACCTTTCCCCAGCCGGGGGGCCCCCCGGAGGGCCCCCGGGGGGCCCCCCGGCGCTGCGCTGCGGGGCTGCGGGGCAGCTGCTGCCGCTGCTTGGCGCTGACCACTAGAGATGGGGGGGCCTCTTTGTGGCTGCTGAAGGAGAAAGAGGGGCCCCTGCCTGAGGTGGGCCCCCTGGGTCTGCTGCTGCTGCTGCTGCTGCTGCGGGCTGCAGGAAGAGCTGTCTTTGTGTTTCTTTGGGGCCCCAGAAAGGCCCTGTTTCTCTTTTGCTACCTCGCCCCTGCTGCTGCTGCTGCTGCGGCCCCAGGACTGTCTCCTCTTTCTCGGCTGGGGCCCTGTTGCTGTCCTTGCTTATCTTTATTTGTCCCCTCCCGCTGCTGCAGCAGCTGCGGCAGCTGCAGCAGTCGCAGTAACTGCAGCAGTTGCAGCAGCTGCAGCAGCTGCAGCAGCTGCAGCAGCGTCTGCTTGTCTGGCAGCTTTCCTGCTGCTTGAGCTCGGTGTCTCCGTTTGCTCTCTTCTGCTTTTCTTTTTTTTTCGCCTTGGGCTTCTTTTTCTGTTTTTTTAAGGGTTTAGCCTCCAAGATTTAGGGTTCAGGGTTTAGGGTTTAGGGTTTAGAAGGTTCACAGCTGAGGGTGTTTCTTGGCTGTTGAGGGAACGTGCTGCGTGCTCTGGCCTGCCTTTGCATTTCAAGCAGTTGTTTTGGTCTAGGGTTTAGGGTTTGGGGTTCAGATTTGTTGCGGAGAGCAAGCTACTTGAGGCTGAGGGTTAAGAGTTTAGGGTTTAGGGTTTAGGGTTTAGGGTTTGGCTTGCCTCTGCCTGCAGCGCCTCTGCCTCGCAGCAGACTTAAGTGCCCTCTGGCGCCTCGAGATCTCCCAAGGCCTTTTGGGGGGCCCCCCATATGTGTACTTCTGGCACTGGGACCCAAACCAGGGGCCCCTCGAGGGGCCCCTGGGGGGTACCCCAGGGGGGCCCCCAGGGGAGGGGCCCCCAGGTGGAGGCCCCTCCTCTGCTAGGCGCTCTTCTTTAGCAGGGTCTTCTGGGGGGGCCCTTGGAAGTACCCTTGGGGGCCCCTGTGGAGGGGTTTCGGCGGCGGCTGCTCGAGGGGCCCCTGGGGGGCCCCCTGGGGGGGCCCCCCTAGAGGTACCCTGGGGGCCCCCGAGGGGTCAAATGAGTGGTGAACGTTTTGAGCTGTTTCGAAGTGGCCTTCCGATGGTTTTAGATGAACCTCTTGTTGCTTCTGCTGCTGATTCAATTTGCTTCCCTTGGAGGCCTGAGGAGCAGCAAAAAGTGCAGCGCGGGACGCAGAGCGATAGCCCAGAAGCAGCTACCTGCACCAGCAGCAGCACCAGCAGCAACAGCAGCAGCAGCAGCAGCAGCAGCA